AGGGCGTAGAGAGCGCAGGACTTGCAGAACTCACTGAATTCGCGAAATCAAGAGATTCTGCGAATTTGGCGTATTTTAGAGAAGCACCAGGGCGTTTAAGAGCATCGAAATAGACATATTCGTCAACAAGAGGATCATATACTGTAGTCATCATTGCTTTTGAAGCTGAATCGCAAAAGGCGATACAGTTAACGCTACCAACGACCCAATTAAACCACTCTCCGTGATCATTTTGCTTGGTCATTGCATCTCTGAGATATGCTAGCTCTTTCGGTATCCCTGACCCTGCTTTTGCTGTGCCGTTGGCGCCAATACCAAGCTCATACAGCTCTTGATAGAGCTTACAAGTAGTAAAGAAGTTATCGAGATGTAGGATATAAAAGGGCCTTGGTCGTGGAAAGCGCTCTAGGAGCAAATGCGCGAAATCAAGTACCACTGCCTCACTTTGAGAAAATCCAGAATGCTCTCCTAATTCGGCTACTTTTTCAATAGCACTGCTGAATTTGAAATCGATCATATAACCGTTTGAGCAACAGAGGCTATAGATCTTATATCCCTCGCCAGCGGCCTTTGTATTCATCTGAATTGTGTGCTTTGAACGGCCTTTAAATTGAATCAATTGCTCGTCAACTGAGAGGTCTTGTGGTAATTGATATATCTCCTTTGTTGTTGCTTTTCGAAATTCCGTAGCAAGAGGCTCAAGTTTCTGATACCATTGATTATCAACAACAGGCCCTGGCCTATTGATCTTGAGATATCTTGTAATCTGCTGAAATCGGCTCTGAGAGATATACTCAGCAACTGGCCAAGCTGGCTGATTGCTATTCTGATTCCAGTAATATTCAACGTTTCTGCCACCTGATTGAACGCCTATTAGAAGTATCGCACCGATATAGCCTCCAATATCCGCAGCCGTTACATCTCTCCAAGATCTTTGATTCTGTTCGAATTCTCTCGATTGCTCGTTAAATGCGTATTCGTTAGTATGCTCTGCAATCTGCGTAAATAGCTCTTTCGGAATAGCTGGCACCATTGAGCCCCTCCCAGACAGACAGACAGACATCCATACCGTGTCCATCACTACCCTAGTGGCTTTTGGCGGAAATACCGTGCAACAAGCATTGTGTGCTTCCTCTTGGCTTCGAATGCCAGCTTTTCTCATTCCTAAAACAGCCCCTAGAATCAGCAGGAAGCCCACAACTTGGAGCTCTGCCTGCTCTGCTTACACTCATCACCCTGAGTTTCGACCTCAACACCTTGTATGGGAAGATCAGGTGACGAAAATGGATGGCGCAGTCGGAGTGGTCGGCAGTATTGATACCAGGACTCTGGTCGAGTTCTGTGGCGGTGATATTCTCCTGAGAGAGCGGGGACGGGTGGTTGAGGGGATGAGGAGACGATAAAGTGATGTGATGAGTGGATCAACGGGTAAATCGTTGTCGAGCCGTCCGGTTGGTATTGATTGGTGGATACGATGTCCATCCCTCCTCCCTCCCCTCTCAGGCCGTACAAGGCAACCATCTCTACCACTACCTGTACACACAACCACCTGTTAGCACCACATCATGTAGGTAAAGGTCCGCTGATCAACAGTTTTTTTTTGTCAAGTGCACGAATCGAAGGTTCAGATAACAAGTGAGAAGATTTTGTAAGCGTTGGCTGGTGGTTTTAGACATGTGCCATATCATCTGCCCGGACGGTTTCCATTCCATGGAGAAGAAGACCAGTCCGAGACTGTATGTGGCTGGGTTCGTTCCTCTGGCCCCAGCAGCATCATCATGTGTATAGGAGATTTGCATGCATGGTGAAAAAAGGTGTTGGGCACAGAGGAAAACCTTGGGCTTACTGGATCTGATTAGTTGGCTGACCAGCGTCGAAAGCTGCGAGGTGCTCTCGGGTGGGTGGGAGCTGGGGATGGATGTTTGAAGGGCATGGAGTGGAGGCTTGGGTGTAGATGCTGCACTGCGTTGCAGTTTGACTGATTGGTCTGCCTCTGATATTCTTCACTCAGGCTTGAAGGGTGTCAGCCATCACACACATCCATTTTTGATGAACCAACACGAAACTTACCACGATCCTCCCCCTCCTCTTCCTCATCTCCTCCACCCTCCTCTTATCTTCCTCAAACTTCCGCATCAACTCTCCCTGCTGCTCCTTCCTCCTCTCCCTCATCTGGAAACGATAAAAGTTTTCGATCCCCTTCTCCTTTTCCTTCTGCTTCTGGCCCAACTCCTTGGCATCCTCCTTCCTCACCACGCCGCCCCTTGCTCCTTTCGTGACGGTGATGAAGCCCTCTTCGTCCGGTTGTTGCCTCCTCTTGGCTTCCTCGCGGGAACGTGCTTCTTCCATGCGGGCGTAGGCGCTCATGTACGAATCAACCGAGCTCAACAGCTCCTTTCGTGATGGATAGCGCATCGTGTGGTGGGCTTGGTAGCGCCTGAGGCCCAGAGGCGGTACTCTTGTTTCGATGCCCTCGCCCCATATGATGGTTGTTCCTAGCTTTGCGGCTTTTCTGGCAGCCTTTAGACTGGCCTCCATGCTGGGTCGGTCGACGAACACCACCACTGCATGGGAGCCGCTGGGATGGATGGGGCGATCCCACGTCTCTGGTAGGCTAGCAGTCTCCAGTTCAAGCTCCAGTTTTGAGGACGTAACCCGTTTGCGCTTCTTGCTGTTCTTGGCCATTTGGACATTCTCACCAGAGATGTTGGAGTTTCTGGTGCCATCCGAGAAGCCGACCCGCTTGATGCGCCCGGCGGAGAGTTGGGCGGCGAAAAGATGCCTGAGGTGTTGCTCTGTCGTCGTGATGGGTATGTTGACCAGGAACAGCGACTGGGGTGATTCGAGGGTGGGCAGCTTGGGTTCGTCTGGTCGTAGGTAGATGTAATGCGCGACGGTCTCGGGGAATGGGAACACAGTTGGACATTTGAAGCGTACAGGCAATGCAACGAAGCCAGAGACTTCACGAGCGACCTTTGCCATGAGTGAAGTACTAGTCTTGATTAATACTATATGCTCTGTCAATGGGAAGGTGTCGTCTAATAGATAATTGACATTGTTGACATTGAGTCTTGATTTTATGCGGAGAATATTTCTCAATATTTCTTGTCCGCCAAGCCTCGGACGCCATCTCGAAATTGTCCCCAAATTGTTCTCCAAATCTGAACCATCAACACCACCACTGCAGTTAGTCAAGACCATGCCAGCGAACAATGCAAATGCAAAGGCCATCGTCCAAACTGTCTTCACACTCACCCCCCATAGAGTGACCAGTCCTCGGAGACCACCACCAGCTGCGCATATCTGTCGCAACCTCCACAACTCGTCGCCGCAGCGAGCCACTCCTCTGTCCGTTGGAGTGGTCGGACCGCCCCCCAACCCACCACTTCCCGCAACACCACAGTATGGCGAGCGCATCGAGAGGCGACGAAAGCAAGCGGAGATGCTACGGCAGGCGAAGGAATTCCGCTCCAGCCAGGACCAGAAAGGGAGACCAAACCCTCTGAAGAAGCGCTTCTGGAAGGATGTAGACGTCAAGGAGACTCCACGTACGTTCCTCATTCACCTCCCTCTCTCTCTATTCTACCACCCCGACCGCTGACGTCTCGTGCATACATAGATGGCTACCAAATCTTCCTCGACTCCCGCCCCGTGCGCACCCCCCACAAGACCATCCTCACCATCCCGCTCTCGAAACCGCACCTCGCCCACGCCATCGCCCTAGAATGGGATCTCCTCACCTCGGCGCAACAAGCGCTGAAAACCCACAACATCCCACTCACCTCCCTCACCTCCCACGCCGACGCCATCCTCCAACAGGAAGCCGCCAGCCCCAGCCCCAGCTCCAACCCCTCCACCCCAACCCG